TCGTGGAGGACTTTCTAAGAGAAACTGGCTCGTATACACGTTACACATGCGGAAAACCATTGAAAGCGCCCATGCAGCCAGCCTGTTCGCGGGATTCGAACCTTGGACCGAACTACCAGTGTTCAGCGAATTTACTGCTCGGCCGCTGCTGGGCCTTGAGGTACGATGATGTGAGCTGGGTATTAATATTTGTCTAGGGCAGACAAAGAGTAGTGAAGGTTTGAGATTTGCGGATTATGGTGAAACTGTACAGATCGGAAAACGTTTGTGGCAAGTCTATGCATATAATCATTAATGGTGTCAATGTTAAGATCTGAGTGAATAGTATTATTAGGGATGAACTGTGGTGCCTTTACTAGTTCACATAGTAATTTGTTTAGTAAAACTTGGATTTTTTTAGATATGTTTTAGCCACATGTCCCCAGATAGGACATGCATATAGAAGGGAGGGCATAGAAGTGTCTTGTCCAAGATGATTTTGTTTGGAATGGAGAATACATTATGTCAACCTAAAAGTGATCACATTGAGGCAGTAGTGGTTTTAAATTTGTCAGCAGTTGCTCAAAAGTGTTTTCTGAAAAGTTAATTTACCATCTAATGTGACACCAAGATATTTAACATTGGTGACCCATTCTGTTTCATTATCGAATAGTTTGATGTTGGTGTATTTAATTATGTGATTTATATTTTTATGCTACATACTGATCAATTATGCAAAGCTACATACTGAAGTACCACTGAATTAGAGATATATGATTAGCAAGACTTAATTCTACTTTGGCTTTCATAATGGCTATTGCATGAAAAAGCATAGCTTAGAAAACTCTGCAGAATTATTTCAGGGGTATTATTTACTAAATATCTACAATTTGCCATAAATCAATTTATAATATTAATGATAGATGGCATGCTTGGATACCTTTTTCCAGAGTATCTCAAAGGTGTTCAACTAGATTTAAGTCAGGGTCCCTTTCTGTTGGTTATTTCAGCAGAGAGAATTCAATGGAAAGCTCTTTGAACAAGGATCTGTGATGGAAGCTGGATGCTCAATATTTACCTGAATAGCAAAAAGGCATGAAAAAAATCGAAGTCATCACCCAGCAGATCTACATACTTAGATGCAGCAATGGCAGTTGGAACAAACATCAAAAGGTCCCAAACACTGTGAGAGAAAACACAACAGACCATCACTCAGCTGTCACGATTTTGTGCAGTTCGAAATCAGCACACTAGATCCATGGTTTCTTCAGGATGGTAACACTTCTTTAGCTTACCATCAGCATGATACAGAGAGAACTGAGATTCATCACTCCATGCTCTCTTATAAATGTTGGTGGTTCAGTCATGATGTTCTGTGGCCCATGGAAGATGTTAAGCTCAGCAGCATACAATAAGTAATAGTACTCTCAAGGGTCTGACTTCTGAAGCTCATATGATGAAGCAAATGCTGCATTGTCCATTTACTGACTATCCAACTGGCGCTTCATTTAGCTGCGTGGTAAACTGAGATAAGGTTTGCTATACAAGGCTGTGTACCATGCAGATAAGTCTATGAAGATAACTGAAGGCTGTTTATTAATGGCAGTTTGATCAATCATTCTTTTTCTGCTATGCGTGTACTCGTCATTTTCTTAATCCTGTGGAACAAGAAAATCCCAATTCTCAAATTATTTTTGAAATTGAATTATAGATGCATTAAGCACTTGTTCTAGACTGATGATGTCCAAATCACAAGTTGGATAACTCAGAAAAAGAGATATCATGTCTTATTCTTTACATTCCAGTCTTGAAAGAAAATTAAACTAAGGTTCACTTAATCCATCTAAGAATAATTGTTACTAAATTTTGAACTGTAAATGAAACTGGTTACACAATTCTGAGGGAAATTAAGCACGGATACAAAAACACAAAACTCAAGCTATACATATCATTCAATGCTAATTTCATACTGAAAAACAGAACAAGGCAAATTTTACACGAACAATGGGATAAATCCGAATTTAAGCCTTGCAGTTAGTTTGTTTACATTTTGTGTAATGAGCAAGTTCATTTACATCAGCAGTTAATAGGGAGAAATTCCTAAAAATAGCCCTTGCAGAGATTATTATGGCACGAAAAAATGAAAGCATGGGGATAAAACAAGGGGATAAGAAAAATTTTCTTTCAATAAATGTAAAATTTCAATTCTAGAACTTTTTATGAGTTGCTAGTCATGTTATTAATCCAGCTGCATGTGCACAAAATGGAATAATAGAATTAGCATAAGGATTCAAATTAGTGAAAACCATACTGCCGCGGCTTCTGTAAACTAGATATTTACTTATACTTTAATCAATTTTTTTCTCTCAAGAGCATAAAAATTACTTTAAAAGTAACTTCAATGTTGTATATGTAAGTTTTTTTTATACTTTGATGAATTTTTACAGGAGTTCTCCCCCCCCCAAGAAACTTCAATACACCTAGCTTTTTTCCATCCAATGGACATTGATTATTTTACATAAAAATCCTTAAAAATATCGTAATTTTGTATTAGAAACATACTGATTAAAGACTTCTTAAAGTATGATTTGGTTATTTAACTAAGTGAAAACAACCCAATTTCAGTCAAACACAAGAAAGCAAATTCTGAAATTTTGTAATTAGCAGTAAAACTCAAGAAGCCAAGACCTATAATTTGCGTTATAGTTAATCCACGCAATCCTCTGTCCCAATATGCATGGTTTATCCCAGGGGTTCTCAACCGGTGGTATGCATACCACTGGTGGTGCGCAAGAGAAAAATAGGTGGTATGCAAAGAAGCAAAGGAATTTTAAGTACAGTCAAAAGTCTTTAATCCGGACTCATCAATTCTGGATTATTGTCTGACAGTTCCGGATTATCGGTCTTTCCGGATTATAGATCATCAATTTAAACCTGGTAAGATAGCATGAAATTATAAATTATAAAATTAAAAATGCAAAAATTATAAAATTAAAAATATGAAACCGTAATTTATGAAATAAAGAGCAATTATGATCTAAAGGGTATGAAAATTTACAAAAAAAAAAAGGTTAATATTTACTTGCTTACTTTATTAAACATTTCTTTCAACGCGCATGGGTAAAGCATACATTACGAAATCGAATTAGTCGAAATTAGAAAATTGCAAACAGAAAACTATTTGATGTGTATTCATGATATTTATAATGACGAGGAATTTGATTTAAATCATATAAAAAATGGAGCACATCAAGAAGAAATACTACATTAAGTAAGGAATTGTAAGCTGAATAAAATAAAAACATCTGCCCTGAAGATAAGGATAGTGCTGACAGATCAACTTCCAGTTCATTGCAAGCCGCGACGTTCCCCCCTCCCCCGTAGAGCAGCGTGAAATTGATAAAGATTTCAGAATGGTTAGAAAAACAAGGATATGCTTTTATCCATTTTTGCAGCAATTCCACTTTTTGTTTGATGGACATCGAAACATGCTTTCGCTTTGTAGATCCTTTGGCAGCTCCATAATCGGAAATTCTTTTTGACTTAATCGAAAGTTCAAGCTTAATTTTATAAAATTGCTCTAACAGTCTACAAAAAATAATAAGCCGGATACAATTTGTAGATTAAGGAACAATGCAATCTGCAACATTAACTGAAATAGATAATTAGATAATTTTAGCTTAGCTTATACCGTCCGTTATACATTTAACATGCATGCGTAAACGCATGCACAGAAAGTTTGTAGCTTTGAAATCCGGATTATAGATCATTCCGGATTATGGACGTCTGGATTAAAGACTTTTGACTTTAGTAAATTCAAAAAGTAAAAACCCCAACATCCTGATCGAGTTCTTTCTCCAACACTCGTAAATTTATACGGTCTGAGCTTTGTTCATGAGTGGTGGTGGTAGTAGTATTTTGTAGTGTTGGTACCAGAGGTTTTCAATTTTTGTTTAGATAGTACGCATTAGTCAAAAGGTTGAGAACTGCTGGTTTATCAGAATTCTAATTTTATGAAGAGGTAAAATATATTTTAAAGGATAATGAACAACAAAATATTTTTACTGAGCAATTATACTATATTTTTAGGCGTTCTGAACACATTTAATTGCCTCTCATGCTGAATACATTGAACCAATATTTAAGAATACATATTTTCTGCATTATTTTAATACACTGTACTCATCATTATGCGGGCTAATGTCAGGGAAACAGGTCCCGGATAATTGAAAAAACACCAATAATCCAAATAACCAATATTCATGCATATTGTATGTGTTTGTGTCTTAAAAAAAATCAGTTATTTTACTTTGTTTTTGAAAATGTTTAAATATTTGTCGAATTTCACTGCATATTTTTTGAAGTGTTATTTCATCGTTATATTTGAATTCTCTTTGGTCGACGAAGTCGAACAGGGCTTCAACAAAAGTCATTGCTATCTTGGGTCTAAATTGCCAGTATTTTCTTTGCTTATATACTTAGTATCATTCTCTGCCTCTTCTGTTTTTGCGACATTTGAAATGATACCCAGATCACTCAAGGACTGAAAACCTGGCTTAGCCAAATTGCCATCGAACCAATCCTCAACGTTTCCACGAATGACATTTTTGAAAAATTTTTTATCTCCAATGTTTTGACATATAACTTCACTTATTGGCTCGACTTCACAATTAGATAAATCACTGATATCTATATTAGGCATAATCTTCCTCCATGTTCAGACTTCAGCATTTTATATTTTACACACTCTTGCGCACAGCATCAAGTGTGCATGCATATCTGCAGCCATGTACAGATAATCTGCACTTGGGTAATTGTAAGTATACTGAAATCCAAAACGACAATTTCACAAGCCACTTAGAGCAAGTAATTTTTCATTTAGCATTGAGACCTTAAGCCTACATATTCACTTCAGCTGTATGTGTCAATTTATAGTGAATCTGAATTTGAATTATGAAATATGATTTTTGTCATTTGCTCTAAGTACCAGTTATTTTTGAAAATAAACCAATATAACTTACCCTAAAAGAATCAGACCTCCTGCCAATAACCAAGTTAATAAGCCAGGCAAAGCAGTTGTTTCAGACATCACATGTGCAGAACAATGAGGACAAGTTACTTGCATTGGGTAAGGACCACACTGAGCTACACTTAATACTGTTACAGATTGTACGCCTGCTGCAAAAATATTCAAAACATAAAACTTTACACACAGACAGATCGAGAAAAATATATGCCAAATTTTAGGAATCTTCATTATTTTGAATAAATAAATGTAATTGAAATATTAAGTCATAAAATAGCTATAACATACATCATTTTTACATCTGATACAAGAGTATAAGAAAGCTGTGGACAAAGCCTCTTGGCTGTAATCTTCTAGGACTACTATTTCTGGGATTTCAAGTTCCTGAATATCTTTCCTTTCACGAAAATACTGATTCATAAAAGAAGTAACCGATACTGGAGTTTGATCCAATCACTTGAATTAATATGGTTCAAATTTCAGTAATCTTTATGTACAATAAAATCAATTTCAAATTTCTAGTCAGCTTTATCAGATCCCTGGAAAATTATTTATATTTTGCATACAAAATATCTACCTGATGAATCATTACATCTACTTTAACTAAAAGATTATACATTATATTACAGAGCTCTTATTAAATAATAAAAATTAGCATTTTAATAAAACATGCTGTGAAAAGTTGCTTTAGAATAGACTATCTCAGTTTAAAATTACAGTATGTGACTGATCCTCTGTGAAAGGAATACTTTGTCAGGCCATATAGTTAAAACAACTATCTGAACAAACGACACAGTTAAGACCGAATTTTTGAAATGAAGTCAATTCAGAGCTTCGGTAGTTCAACAAATAAAAGCAACTCAACTTCACACAGCAACAGTTACTGGGTCAAAATCTCCGGTCTTTACACATGAGCTTGTACTTGTATGCCTAGCAACATACTACTAAAATTGTATTGGTCAAAAGCAACATATATACAGTTAAATTAACTACCCCTATAATGATACTACAGACTTTGGTCCCGAAGGGCAGAAAATGTAAATTTTTAAAAGAGAGATTGAATTACTAGCAGTGACTAAGTAATACTAAAAAAATAATATTAAAAGAAATTTGTACCCTACCTTTCCATGATGTGTAAATTATTAACTTTGCAATCAAATTTATTCTTATTATGTTAATAACAGAGAAAAATGTAAATACCTAGTGATTCAAAGTTCACTTCTGAAGGAATATTCAGTAAACAACTGAATATTTCTTTAGTGATATCCTATTCTTGATTCTAACATACAGAATTCTGAGTGATTGTCACCTAACATACATAATTACAGAATGGTTGAAAAACAAATTGCAGGTTATTTTCTTAACTTTACCAGCAAGTGGAAGGCTATGAAAATTTTAACATAGGTCTCATACTTTATCTTATAAAAATAATATATTAAATTCTAATTAAATTTTACAAAAAATGGAAAATACAAATAAACGTGAGTTAACAAAAAATTTTAAAACAAAAAAATTGTCACAGATTACATAAAACAAGTACATTTAATTATGTAGCAAAATTTATGCCAGAAACTGCCATATTATTTTCTTCTTTCACATCAGTTCATCGTCTAGGACAGGGGTCAGCAAACTATGGCCAGCCAATTGAATTAATGCAGCCTGTGGCTCAATACTGCTTTTTACTAATGTTTTTGTATAAGAAAAAAAATTAAGTTGATGAAATTACGCACTCTAACACAACTGCCAATTGTTGAGTTGGGACTAATGATTGCACATAGCATTACTAGTGTCGCAAATTCACATTTCATTGTCTGCTCTTACTGTAGAACAACCATTGCCAGTTCTGCCAGTTTTGCTTTAGTTGTACACATGGCTGTTGGCCCTTTTCATTGACATTCTGTGACATTTTTTCCTTTTCATTTGTGACCCAGCTATGTCATGTCACTTTCAAGACCAGATCAAAAGAGAAAAGTGGACTTCAAATCTAATGCTTGTAAAGCAGAATGGAATGTATCTTCAAATCTAATGCTTGTAAAGCAGAATGGAGTGTATCAATTATTTCGTCATATAATTAAATGCTTATCGTGCAATGCCAGAATATCTGCTGGAAAGGAGTACAACATATGCCCTCATTTTCAAGCTAAGCACAAAACACAATATTCAAAACTATGATCACTCAAATTGGAAACTTTAAGACAGTGTTTCATCACAGCACAATTTATTCATAAAATAAAAAAAAATATTGATATAATAAAGCTAACTAATGTCAGCTAACAAATAGCTCATTTATCAGCAATGAAAGGAATATCATTTACTAATGGTGAATTAATTAAATCAAGTTTGCTTGTGGCTGCCTAAGAAATGTACTCACAATAAATGGATTCATTCCTGTCAGTATTTGGGGGGGGGTGAGAACTGTTAGAAGAGATCAGTATATCAGGTGCCACATCAAAGTCAATTATAAGTAAGGCAAAGAAATTTCAAGTGGTTTTTGTAGGCTATTGATTGTTGACAGACATTCCAGTACTGTCCAACTATTGCTGTTTATTCAAGAGGTTAATAATGAGAATGAGATGAGTGAAAAATTAACTTCTATGAATAGTCCACATGGAACAAGTACAGGCACAGATATCTTCAAGGAAACATTAACACAGTACAATTTCCAATAGAATATGTTAAAATGTGTTACAACTGATGGTGATCAAAATACTTGTAAAGAGTCAGTTGGACATATTTTTAAGGCTCGTGAGGATATTTAAAACCTTTGGCAATTCATCATATTTTCCACCAGGAGGCTCTTTGTGGAATAAACCTCAATCTGTCACGTAATACTGAATCAGCTGTGTCAGCGATTAGCTGTGTTAACTCTCATGGATTTAGCCATCATCAGTTTCATGATTTTTTAATTAGAGATCAAAGTCGAATATCTTGATTTGCCAGTATTTGATGGCTCAGCACCGAGAAAGTTTTAATGAGACTTCTTGAACCAGAGAAGTAATATAAATTTTCTAAACGAGAAAAATTGCCTACAACCACTACAACGAATGTATATACAAATTAGATTTTGCTACAGACATCATGAGATATCTTAATGAATTTAACTTAATTGCAGGGTAAAACAGTGCTCAAATGTGAAATGGATGTCATAAACTAGTTTTACCAAAAATCATTAGTTCTTTTATATAAAAAGATGCTGGATTTCAAGCTTTAAATAACGTCAAGGCCCTCCTTAGAATCAAAAATAAATATAGAACAATAAGAATACAATTCTTTTACACATACTTAACTCCCTGAGTGGTCATGACCAGCCATGAGTGCTTTTTGTCACTAGGTACAGATTAGCTCATAAAAATATTTTACTTTCTTTCTTTAAATTTAAATATCATCTTAATGAATGGAAGTTTATGAAAATACAGACTAAAATAAGTAATTATAAAAATTTAGCTAATAAATGCTATTTAAATACATCTCTTCATGAGCAGATCCAAAAACCCATGCCACTCAGATGAGGGCTAAAACATGTTAAAAAACTAAGACTATTAATGTATGCCCTGGAATTACATACCTAAGTAAATTCTAAACCAGCAAAACTACTGAGAAAATTACAAGCAAAATGATTTTGAAATAGTACTTTAATGATTAAGATTTCTATTAAAATATTAAATTTTGCCAATTTCATTCTAAAGCACAAAAATTTAATGTCATAGGATGAGTGCAAAAACAGGATTTTCAATAAGCGAATATACAATAGGATTTCATGGAAACATTTTCTCCTTCAATTCTGTTTCATAAATTGCATCATTTATGTTATGCATGAAAGTGCAAAATGACTTCATTTCATTTAACTTGCACTGTTATATCTGTGAACACCGTTGAAATATTTCTTGAGCTTCCTGAATACATATTAACAAAGCACTAATCAATTTTCATAAATACAGTGTTGACAGAAGTAAATTTATTCTTCACAGATTAATATAAAATTCACTTAAGGGACATCAAGAAAATTCATTTCTCTGATCTACTGCATACTTACCAGCTAATGACAACACAATATTGCATTATGGTCTTTGACAAGAATAAAAGCAATGTCTGTATAATGGGAAAAAGCAGTATTAAATTAACATACCACAATGTAACTTAATAACAGCTAAAATAAAATACTGGTGTAATTTCAAAGCTGAAGTGCTTTTATCATACTGTGTCGCTTTAATTATCTATAGACCAAAATTCTTTTGATGCATACAAAAAATCCAAAACACTTTTCTGGCAGATGAAAATGGTCTCAATTAAGCAATGATGCATGATAGACTGTCACTTGAAGATCAAATTGAAGAGTAATGGTATGGCATAAGAAACAAGCAAATAAAAACTAAAAAAAAACTGTCACTTGAAAGTTACATTTTGACCATACACTGCTAATTTTAGGCAATTTTCAATCAATTTTTGTGATGAGCACTTAAAGGAATTTTCATGTACCACGAGTTAAAAAAAAAATTCACTGCCACCAAGAACATTTTTCACTGTTCCTTCAATACCACACAAACCAAACGCAGTTGTTTTTGTTTATTAATTAGGTGAAAAAAAAACCCTAATGTAATAGAGAAACTGACAGCTTCCTCTTTTTTTCCCAAGGGTATCAATGTAAGTTACTTTTCATTCTAAAAGTTATTATCATTTTTTCTCAGTATAAATAGCTCAGTCCTGCTGATGTAATAATATATCTACAGTTGCTAAAGCCACTGTGTTATGGAATAATTTCACAACAAATTATAATATGCATTTGCTATTTATAGCATCGCAACCAAAGAAATTAGGTCAGAATTCTGAGTTGTTAATTTAGAAATACAAATATATATTTTGATAGCTTCTGCTTATATGAGGAAAAATTAATAAAGAATACAGTTAAAATTTGTGGAATTATCTAAAAGTAAAGGATATGAGACATGAGGTTATACTTTCCTTACAATATCAGTATCGGCAAATTGATTTACAAATATCAGACAACTCCTGCAGGAAATAAAAACTGCATTCAAAGGAAAATTCTAAAAAATTTGAAATGTTTGAAGAATATTCCTTGTTTTATTGATTCCTTACAGGCATGGCAAACCCTCACTACACTCTCTCAATAAATCAGGTACGAAGTAGAAAAATA